TGCTCTTGCTGTCAATTCCTGGGGTGTGGTCTCCCGTCATAAATATAAAGGGAAGGGTAACAACCTTTATGTATACAGTAACTGAAAATTCCTCCTGGACAGAGATACAGAATCACTTACCTGTAAGGGGTTAATCAGTTCAATTAACCTAGTTGGCACCTGACCAGAAGGACCAATAGGGAAAGAAGATGCTTTCAAATCTGGGGAGAAGGGAAGGTTTTGCTTGTGCTCTCTTTTTGTTTCCTCTCAGGACACACAGAGAGACCAAGCAGGTAAACCAGCTCCTAAAGAGATACCTGAAATGATACATCTCAATTTACAGAAATTGTAAGTAAAGGCAAGGAAATGCGTTAGATTATCTTTTGTTTTAGCTTGTGAATTTTCCCTATGCTAAGAGGTAGTTTTATTCCTGGTTTTTGTAACTGTGAAGTTGAGTCCAGAGGGGAGTCCTCTGTGTTTTAAATTTTTATTACCCTGTAAAGTTACCTTCCATCCTGATTTTGCAGATGTGATTCTTTTACTTTTTTCTTGATAATAAAGTTCTTCTTTTAAGAACCTGATAGATTTTTAGTGTCCTAAAAGCCCGAGGGTTTGGTCTGTGCTTGCTTTGTTAATCTATTGGTTAGTATATTCTTCTCAAGCCTCCCCAGGAAAGAGGGTGAAGGGACTTGGGGGAATATTTTGGGGAAACAGGGACTCCAAGTGGCCCTTTTCCTGAATCTTTGGCTAAATCACTTGGTGGTGGCAGCAGTACCGTCCAAGGACAAGGAAAGGATTTGTGCCTTGGGGAAGCTGGTAGAAATAAGCTTAGGGGGTCTTTTATGCTGGTCCCCACATCTGTACCTCAGAGTTCAGTGTGGGGAGGGAACCCTGACAACTCCCCTCCAGGAGAATGCCATCCCAGCAGCTCCTCCTGTTCAAACTGAGGGATTGCTGCTTCAGAACCTTCAGTGCCAGGGTGTTCTCAGAGGAAGGCCCAAATGTCTGGAACCTGCCTGCTCTCATGACCCCTCAGAACCCAAATTTAGAGTGCCATGTAAGGTTGTGTCTATTCACTGACCCATAAACTGTTTAATACTTTTGTCAATCTCTTGCCGAGTATTTCTTACTTGTAACTTCCACTGGTGCACACCCATGTTCTACATCTCAAAACAAGGATGTTAAACCACTCCCTTCCTGCTTTAGGTGCAGACCTATTGTGCTAGGAATTACTGGTCGTGTTCCACTGATGTGTAACTTACAAATGGGATTTGCAAATTCACACCATGAATTGAGGGGGAGAATGAAGAGGCTCTGGAGCGGTTTCTCCCAGTTGTCATGCTCATTGCCAAAGTCATCAGGCTTCAGTGGCTGGGAGGTGAGGGTGAGAAGGAGAGCTGCTGGTACAGGGAGGTCCTGTGTTGGTAGAGAATTCAGGAAGAGAGCTAGCAGTGTATTTGGTCTCACCTGGCTGAGGAGAAAGCATGTGCTAGTTTGGAGAGAGGGAGGAGCAAAGGGTCATTCGTCATTGGGGAAACTGGAACATGTGCAGGTGGGGTGCATGTAGCTGAAGATCTCAAGTACCATTATCACCAGGTTTGAACATCTCCATGCCTGGTGGATGCATGAAGGTTGCATGCAGGTCAGGGTGGAAGATTATCGGTAGGAAGCCTGCACTGATGCTGCCAGTGCAGCGTTTGTTCGGTGGCTATACGAAGGACTTCAATCTCTAGGACTGTCATTGCAGTGCCTTTCCCAAGCATGACATTTTCGAATAGTGAGATTATCGCAGCCTTAGAGCTTTTGTCATGCGTAAACTCTCTAGGTTTAAGCAGTCCTGCCCAGAGCAGGCGTATTTTCTTATTGTTGTATTTCTCTGTAGCATTTATTTTCTGCCCTTCTCCCACTCCCACCTTCATCAATATGGTAGAGATCTTCAGTCATCTTCCAAAATATTAAAATCCAAAATGAACCCACAAGCCATCTGTTAATGTGGGATCTAGAACAACCAGGGAAGATGAGTCCAGAAAGGAAAACTCCATGATACACAGTTAATAGCTACCACCACCGTTATTTCTAACATCCATGCTAAATACCATTTTAATAATTGTAAATTATTGTAAATTCATTTTCAGTAAGAGTGTAATAACCATGAAGGAGGCTGTAGCAAAATGATTCTCTGAAATTATGTGTTTGATCACACAACCCACAAATATGCAAATTCCATCTACATTTTAAATTGGTTAAATGTGTATGCTATTCGTTTGTTAGACAAATCTTCTGTCACAAACTAGCATATCCCTTTTGCAAAGAGCAAATATTACCACCTCTTTGGGGCATGGGCTATGGCATATGAACTCTATTATATCCCTAATGCTGCAAGTATCCACACTGACAAGTGGTGGCATATAGCAGCTGCCATTTGATATGATGCAGTAGAAAATGCCCTGAGACCAGTAATGTCTACTTGCAGTATATCTCATATCGTGTTTCAATATAGTATATTACCACTTCTGACAGTTACATCAGCTACAATTCTGCCCTCCCTTTCTAGCAGACAGTGATTGTTTCCTGCATCAGAAATAGAATTTCTTCAAACTGTCCAAGCTTGAGAACTAATGGATCTGCATAGCAGAGCCTTACGAGTGAATTTCAACTATAAAGTAGAAACAGTAAGCAAACGTAAATATTGATCCACTGATCTAATGCTAGGCAGATATGGCCAGCATTGGGGACTTATCTGTTGCAACTCTGACTGCTAATCCTTCCTTTTTTTATTATGAATTTTTAATTATGAATCTCACAGCAGCAGCTAGTTCCAAGAGCTACAATCTGTTCTTTCTTTCATGGCTAGGTGCAAACTGAAATTATGGGAACTATAGTGGAAAAAGAAGCCATCTTGGGTTGTCATTACAAGTACAATAGCAGAGAGCAGAACACTTCACTGATGATGAGCTGGGCCAATCGATACAAGATTATTTTTTTGTTTTTGGTTATTGGAGTGACGATGGTAGGTCCATAGTTAGGATGCTTTACATAACTGATTTTGGCCCCCCTTCAGAATCCACAGTCACATTGGCCTCAAAATCAGCAGTTTTAGCCCTGGGCCTGAGGTAAAAATTTTCTACAAAATGTAAAAATCATTGGAGAAAGGGATTTCCTGAATTATGGCACTCCGAAAATAGAGCTGCTCAAAAAAGTACCACAACCACCTTTTTCTAAATCCATTTGACAAAAAAAAATGTAAAGCAGCAGGAGTTAGAAAGCACCTTACCTTACTTGATTAAGATCTAGTGCCCATCACCAAAATTTTGTAAAATAAAGTATATTTCAGAAGTTATTAACTAGCAATTATAGTCGCAGAGTACATCAAATGACTGCTGGAGACCTAGGTTTTTACTGTATGGGGGAGGGGAGGAAGTCTTTGGCCCTTTTCTTTTCTGAGAGCTTTCAAAATGTGCTACCCTCTGGCTACTGTTGGGATGCTTGTCAAAAGGGTAGCAAGGTGCGACTGAGCTTCCAAAGGGTTGGGAGGGGCAGGAACTCTACAAGCCTAGGACTCATACATGGAAGAGCACTCTCCCTTCCTTGCCTTCTCTACTTGACAAACCACCTGGGGTTAAGCAGAGGGGACTCCTGCTGCTGTGAGCTACAGAACCCTTGCCTGCTGCAGAAGCCAAAGAAGTGCTAGGGTTCTTCAGTTCCTTCTTCTGAAGCACTGAGCTTCTCCTTTGCTCCTTCCCCTGACCCTTTCTTCTCTCTGTAGCCCTCTTGCACACACTGCACAAGCTCTGAAGGCTCCCAGGAGACCCCCCAAGCATAAAACCTTGTAAAGGGGTATTACAAGGCATAAATTGTGCAGTCCCAACAAGCATCACAAAGCTCTTCAGAAGGTCAGTGCCAGGCAGAGCCTGCTCCGACGCACACCTCCTTGGATCCGTAGAAGAAGGTTCCCTCCTAAGGATCTTAAGAGGTGCACATTTAGTGAGGTCCCCCTTTACAGACCTGAAGAAGGCAATCCCTCTCCAAAACTTCTTTCCCTCCCCAGTCCCATTTTATGGTTATTTAAAAAAATAAGGAATAAACTCTCAAATTGTCATTGCTGAGGAGTTCAGGTTGCTGGACACTGTAAGTTCTTCGAGACAGGGACAGTTTCTCCTGTTGGTACAGCACCTACCGCAATGGGGCCCCTTTCTCATCTGACCCCTAAGCCCTGCTGTTCTCAACATGATAAATAATCTGTGGTTTGAGGCCATGTTACTTTTCAAGGACATTAGAGTTAAAAATGTTAGAACTCAGAAAATGCAATTAATGTTCCATGTGCAAGCAAGATATCCAGACTACTTTAACTTCTTGTAGTAATGCTCTGTAGTGGAGGGGAATCTGCAAATAAAGCTGTATTGTCAATATTGGAGGGAACTTTTGTAAAATCTAGCATTATGCGATGAATGCAGTTTTCTGTACACTTACTATATGGCCGCCATGTTTTGACATCCAGTATCAGATATGTCAGTTTCTGCAGTTGTGATCAGGAATGTTCCTGAATTTTCCGTACCTTCTGGAAAATTGCTAGGTAAATATGTGCAACAATCCCTGTGAACTACTCACTAGTACCATATATTACACTGTTTTAACAACCCAATGTACATGTGTAGAATAATGCTCTACAATTAGGCACTATTGATTTTGATGGAGTTACATGAGAGTGAATGTGGTTTAACTGAATGAAGAATCAGACCCAGTTTCTCCTTCACCTTTGCATGGAGCTCTAATTCATGTCCATGAACTTGACTCTTAGGTAAGGCAATATATGGCCCTCAGCTTTGGGAGTTTGTGCAATTTTAACTCTTTTTCCTTATTTTGACTATCTCTATAAAGTAGATGTTAAGAACCTGGTCAAACTGCGAGGAGCACAAAGTACTCAGTAGAACCAGGTGTAATGGGCTTTAATTCTGTTTAAAGGGAATGGCTAACACGTCATATTTTCACATTTTATTTCAATCTTCTCTGCAAGAACTTACCTTGTTACAGTGGTGTGTCATTGATGGTTCTTGCCAGTCCCTGCTCTTTCTGTGGTTGTCACCTCTGGGGTACTAGGAAGAGTGGCCCCTTCAAATAGACCTTGGTAGTATCCCTCTGTGTAACTGCATGAGATTGTGCTGCACTGCTTAGATTCATTACTTTGCAATGGTTTGTCCAGTGAACTGTTTGTGCAGGTTTGGGAAAAATCACTGGGTACAGCCGAGCAAACGGAGTTGAAGAGAGGTAAAAATGTTGGCCTAGTAAGGGGTGTCATACTGTTAGAGTCACTTGGACTGGGTTCAAGTCTGAAGTCTTTTATGTAAGAGAGGGCTTGATTATTTAGATGGGCATATTCAAAATTTATCTTATTCCCGGTGACCTGACTCATATGATCTAGGATATTTGTTCTGTGTTTCTGATCTTTAGAGCAAATTAGTTCCTTATTTTGTTTCAACTGATATGGATTACTGGCTTTGAGGCTTGCCTCATAATTATCTTGGTTTGTGTGAGGGAGACCAGGATATTCTAAACTCTGGGTGATACAGTTGCATTCATTTTGCAACAATATTTTGTTTTTGTATTGAGACATCTTACAAATTATGTTGTTCATTTCATTCCCGATGCATTTGTCTTCCAGATGTTTGTTTTCATAGCTGATTTTTAAGGATGCAACTTGAGTGACACAACGTTCCAGAAGCTGCACTATAGTAGTGTCACTTTCCCTTTGTGTGGGGCTGATGTAGTTTTGAAAGTGTCTCAGAGTAAGAGGCTGCATTGGCTTGTCGCAGGAAATAGACAAAGAATGATATATTGTTTTATTGCCAACTGCTGTCTCTAGGGAATCTACTGGGGAAGTTGCTGCAGTCATATAAGAATAACAGGATTCCACTTCCTGGCTATCATTTAGCGAAGGATTTTGAGAGCTCTGGCAAGCAGGCTCCATGCTCAGGTCACCCATTAATGGGGCTTTATCTCCAGGTTCCTTGCATTCTCCTGAAACTGGCATCTTCTCTTTTTCAGACAAACCGGTCCCTACAGTGTCTCCAATAGCTTGTGATCTTGGCACATTACCTGATGTGCTGTTGGCTTCCTGAAGCCCAGATTCAGTACACGAGTCCTCAGGGCAGTTTTCCTCCCTTACCTGAGAATGCCCATTAGCTGTATGAGGCCAAGAAACTTCCTTTTGGTCTTTTTCAGCCACGCCCCCTAAACACGTCTGGGACATGTCATTGTTATCAGCCAAAGAAGAATTTGGATTAGAAATATCAGTTTCTCCCTTGGTTTGTTTTTCCTCCTCAGCTGCTATGTGCTCACTCCGGCATGGACTGGGACTACAGGAGACCAATGGATCACCACTTTTTTCCAGCTGTGATTCGGGACTCCTAATCGGGTCTGTGGGGGAAACCAACCCTGGGTTTTTTCGCAGCCAGTTTATTATCCCCATGGTCAGTGAAAGTTCAGTATCACAGAGCTTTAACAAGCATTCCTTACCTTTCCATGTGCTGTGAAGAAACCCTTGGCTAATGATGTCAACAGCTGGCTGTGAAGCCATATTCTCCTCCGCTCCCACGTGAAAGCTGTAAATTGACAAAGGGATTTCAATGGCCTGTTCTGAAATGCTTTCTGACATACACAGCTCATCGTCTAGGACTGGGCTTATTTTGGCTTCATTAGGATCATAGAATAGTTCATAAAGGGCATCGCCACTGTAACTGTCTCTTGGAAATCTACCTGGAACCCCAGGAGTCTGAGCCTCCTTCATTTCATCATCCTGCCCGGGAGAGAATGAATCATAGTATCCTTCATCGCTGGTGGAGGTGGATTCTTGGTGGTCACTTTTTGGTGTCCCTGTATCTATGGAGCTTTCTTTGGAACTGTGAGGATCTTTATCAGGTGACACCAGCAGGTCAGTCACTGAAGCAGCAGCTTCATGTTTAGTCTTTTCCAAATCAGGACTGGGTATCTTCAACAACTTCCTATCAAATAACGCGCTCTGATGTAATCGCACCGACTTGTTGATGTTGTCCCAAAATTTCACAAAGTCAGCTGCTTCATTTTGGGCAGGGGATGCCAGCTGTTCCACCCCCCCTTGAAAAGACCCCAGGGCAGGGCTCTCTTTGTGCTTGGATCGCCTCACCAGCACTTCTTTGCTGCTCTCCAGCTCCAAATGAGCAGAGCTCTCATCTGCAAAGATTTCCCCACATCCAGTGAGAGAGTCAAAGCTCTTCAGAGAAGCGACATCTTCACACAGAGCATTGCAGTAGTCATAGGAGGAATCAGACTGCATTTCGCTGTCAGAGAGGTCTTGTGCCAAACAGTCAGCTGCAAAGGTTTCTCTGGGTTTGAAAAGATACTTCCCAAGCCTGCCTGACAGCTCACTCTTCCACGCTGGAGAAGGCAGCCTCTTGCCCTTCTCAACTAGCAGTGTTAGGCTCTCTGGTTTGTTTTTTTTCATGTGAAATATATCCCGGAGCCCTTTTGTAGATCTCTTAAGGGAAATCCTCTTCCTGGGAATGCTTTTTGCTACAGCTGGTACAAAAGGCATCTGTGGCACAAAGTTTCTGTAATCTATCATCTGCTGACTGCTGCAAGTGGACTGGCTTGGGCTGAACATGGACTCTTTCTTACCACTAGAATTCAGGGTACTCCCCACCCCGGAAAAGCTGCTGCTGTTGACGAGTCGCCCTTTACTTCTTTCTGGAGCTGAAAAGCCCTCCTTGTAAGCTTTATCACTGTGGCTGCATCGTTCTGTTTTGTCTACCCCTATCACACAGTCATGGGTTTTACTTTTTTTTACCAGTTTGTAGGAAGACCCAGATGGTGCTAAGATGTTTTCACTAGCCCCGCTCCTTGCTGTTGTATTAGAAAATCGGTCATTTTTGTGTGTGGCCAATCTTGCCGGTAGGACCACATCACTTTTGCTCCCCTCGACTGCTACACTTTTGTCTTTTCCTAGATCATCCTTGTCTGTAGGAATCACGTCCACCAATGGCGCTTTCTCAGAAGTCGGCTGCAAACTCGATTTTATGAAGGTCTTTCCTCTCCTTAGCTCCATGCTGCTTCATCACATTTGTTTCTGTAGAGGAAACAGCAGAATGAAATCTTAAAATCTGGCTAGCAGTGTGCTTTCAACTAACAAAGGACTCGTATGGATTTGAGGTATGTTTCCCAAACAACTAGAACCCCATTAGAGCTTGTATATTTTGAAGAACATCTAGAGAAATGGAGGGGGGGGGAATCAGTAATATTAGAACTGATTGTATTTCTTGCAAGAGATTTCAGTCAATAACTCGTGGTGTTGCTTGAAAATGAGTTCAAGTGAAACACGGGGTGTTGCTTGTAAGGTTTGCAAAGGTCTGAAGGAATCAGCAGGAAGACAGGTCACTCTAAGTTGGTGGCTAGTTGGCCTGATTGCCTTTGAAACTGTCAAGCTGCTGAGCTCTCAGATACAGGATCAAGGCCATGCTAGAGCAGCTCAAAGGGAACAGATGCTATTCTAAAATTGGAAGTGGCACTGGAGAACAAAGAGGATCGGTGGATACACCAGGAACTTTTATGCCAAGGGCCTGCTTTGGGGAGGTGATTATGCTTCATTAACTTATGCATTTGATTAGATCAAGGTATGAGGAAGATCCCAAGTGGGGGAAGCGCCGAGGGTGTAAAATACAACACAAGAGATTTTCATTTTACATGGAAAATCTCTGCAAAGCAATCCCTACCTGTGCATCGTGAACTGGTCATTTGCTTGAAATGCATGCGGAAGCTGAATTACTGTTGCTTCTGCTGAAGTGTGTGAAAAGGACATGCTTACCCCTAACACCACCTACTGGTTGGGTGGGGGTATGGCAGGTTGTTTTCCTATCAGGAGTCCCCCTTTTATTACCACAGTTCTGCGCTGCAGTGGTCTGTCCTTCCAGTGACCCTGCCCTCCGGCCAGGTCACATTTGCAAGTCTATGCCTTTTGGGGTATGTATAAAGAGTCCAATAGTGGGAGGAGGACTCTTTGTGATTAAGCAGGAGGCCTCAGGACTCCTCTCCGTCTTGGGTTGAAATCTCACAGCCCAGATCCTTTTATCATCAGGGTCTTCTCCCCACAACTAGGTTCCCTGCTGAAGGATAAACTTCTGTAGTTGTCCCTCCTTAAAGGTTGGTAGAGGAGCCTGGGCCCCCACCCTCCACCAGGCTAAGATCCAGGGCCCAATGGTAGGCACCTATATCCTGCATCCTGGGGTGCTGGGCAGCTGCTTCCCTGGATCACTTCCCACCAGTCCCCTCTCTTCCCCCAGGGTAAAGCAAAAAAGAGAAACACAAGAATAAAGTCTCTAACCTCCAGAGTGTGTCAGGTCCCCTTTTTTGTAGGCTTGGAGAGGTCACTACAGCCAGGCCTCAGGCAGCAAGAGCTCCTGTGTTGCTCCTTCTCAGGAGCCCAGCGTGTAGGTCAGCTCATTTGCCTGACGTTGAGCTGCTTCTGCTCCCCCTTTAAAGCTCCTTCTCCAGCCTGTGCAGGTATAGCAGGTGCGGGCGGTGAGGCCACCTGGGCACAGAGCAGCTCTCTAACCCCTACCTTTCCTGGGGGATTTTTACACCCTATCACAGAGTGCAATCTATAGTTTTCTGTAGTACTACTTTTAGTATAAAAAATCAAAAGTAGCTTTTATAAAAGGCACCACTAAATATCACTGGACAGTTGGATTGGCTTGACAAACATTTTTAACTGTACAATGACCAACTATAGTACACAGATGCATTGGCAAAACATATGCACATTGTACATTGATTACTTTTAAATGCACATGCATTGCATAGTTCATTGCAAACTTGAGGTCTACACTTGTATGCTACATTGTTCAGTATGGTTAATGTTTTCATGCAGTACATAAACATTTAAATAAAATATTCATGAAAGTATTATGCCATAGTCCACTCCCCTGGAATTATTTCATAAATAGACAGCACTTGTTTCTCTTCCTCCTTACGCCAGTGTAAATCAGGAGTAAAGCAATGAGATTATAGCTGCATAATTCAGAACAGAATCAAACTCATCATGCAAACTCTCATGCAAACAAAATTCTTATTGGACAAAAAGAGTGGCCCAGATTTTTATTCAAAGGCCTGTTCTTTTTTAAAAAAATAAATAAATAAAATCCCTTCAGATCGGCACTGAATTAAACCTCAGTTTAGAATTAAATTCTCTAGATCTGCATCATTTACACATACACTAAAACTAAAATCATCTGGGCCCTGAAAGTAAGCAATAATTGAGACTGCATTACTGCACATTAAAAGACACATTAGCAGCACAGTGTTACATCCAACACTCGTTGATAAACCATGCACAGCTACCCTAGCAGAATAAATAGCTGCCAGTGTTTCAAAGGAAGTGTATAAACATGGGACCAGCCTCAGATCCAGCTCTTCTGCACCCAGTACAAGTCAGGAAGGGTGGTTTTTAAACCAGCTTTTTATGCACCCTCCCCGAGTCATGAGCTTGGCGCAATCTGAAGACACAACTTGGAGCAGTCTTAGGGCTCCTCTAAATTGTAGCAACTGCCCATGGCCTTTAAGAGGATGTTCTGTCAGCTGAATCTGACCATCCTCCCACAATGGATAGGTAAGTGCGGAGGAGAACATGGCTTGGACAGAGACATCCCTTAGCGGAGGATCTATTAATGGAAATTCTCTGTGTCCTAGTGAGGAGGAGAGGATGGAAGGTGATAAAATAAAGGTAGGATCTGATGAGAAACAGTCAAATGAAAAAGTCCCATTCAATTACATCCCGTAATGGCAAACAGCTAAAAAGTGACAAGTGTAAGTCTAAATAATAAGACGGGTGAACTTGAGTGCCTCATATTGAATGAGAATACTGATGTAACAGGCATCACAGAAACTTGGTGGAACAAGGCTAATCAATGGGACACAGTAATAGCAAGGTACAAAATATATCTGAAGGACAGAACAGGTTGTGAAGTGGAACTACATATATGAAAGAAAGCATAGAGTCAAATGAAGTAAAAATCTTAAATGAATCAAACTATACCATAGAATCTCTAGGGACAGTAATTCCATGCTTGAATAATAAGAATATAGCAGTAGGGATATACTACCGATCACCTGACCAGGATGGTGATAGTGATTGTGAAATGCTCGAGGAGATTAGAGAGGCTATTAAAATAAAAAACAATAATAATGGGGGATTTCAACTATACCCATATTGACTAGGTACTTGACACCTCAGGACGGGATGCAGAGAGAAAGTTTCTTGACACCTTAAATGACTGCTTCTTGGAGCAGCCAGTCCTGGAACCCACAACGGGGAAGGGAATCTTCAGGCAGCCAGATCCATGGCCATCCAGTGGCATAAAGCAGTTTTTAGTGGAGGCTCTGGTATGGCCTATAATCAGCACATTTATAACACAGGGGAAGGCAGGAAATAGTGGCAAACTTTAGGGTGATGTGTGACTGTATATATGCACAGTGTGTAGAGTATGGAATACATGATGGTGTGGTGATAAATAAAGGTTTTATCAGCATGATTTTGATGTAGCCATGTTACTCATAGATGGAAATGTGAGTTCTTCAGATCATCTGTAATGAATGCTAATAAATACTTTTCTACCTCACTACACCATTGCATATTCATACACGTCACTGATGCTACAGAAAAGTTACTTTACAAATATTTTAGAGTTTTTAGGAAAAGGTTATTGGGATGTTTTTGCACCCCTTTGCTGCAATGTGAAGTGTTATTTACCATGAATCCAATTGTACAGAATTGAGAAGGAGCCATAAAAACCTGCTAAAAATAGCTGAAGCAAGCTTTCCTGCAACTTAATAACATCATCAACCTGAGGTTTCCAAGATCTCAGACTCTTCTAGTGCTAGAAGTAGATGCTGGGTCTCCTGGGGAAAATGCAAATCTCAACAGCTTGAAGATCCCTGCTGGGCTGAGGATCAGAAGGATAAGACTTCAATGTTGTATTATTTTTATGTCTAGAAAAACTGGCTGTCCCAGGACAGATTTTGCCTGTTCTGAGCCTTGGGCAGGGATTGTTGTGAAGGAAATGCCACATTTAGGGAAGAAAGGAACATTTTTTTTCCTGCAGATTGGCATATTGATAAAGGTAGCTGTTTGAAACTGCTCTTGGGTTTGGAGTATTAGAATAAGTCTTCTCTGGATTGGTGGCCTGAGAGCAACTAAGGTGATCAAAGGTGAAGGTTGAATTAAGTTGGAGGCAGAGATGCACTCACTACATATATGTTCACTGCCTAGCACAATGAGGAATGTTTTGGACAAGCTGTTTTTGAGTCACTTTACCTCCATAGGTCTGTGAAAACAGCAGATTAAAAGGTTATGGGTATCAAACCCAGTTGGGCCTCTCAGGTTAAGAGTGTTAGAACCATGTGGGCACCCAAAGAGAGGGATGGTAGCAAAACCTGTCCCAAAGGGGCACACTTGAGAGGGACAAAAGCTGTCTAAGGCATGGCTGGTCTGGTAACCAGGACAGGAAAGGCTGAAAGGTTTTCATAGATTTGTAGAGTTTGAAGCCAGATGGACAATTACATCATCTAGTCTGATCTCCTGTATATCACAGGCCATTAAATTTCACCCATTTACTGCTGTATTGAGCCCTTTAACTTGTACTAAAGTATAAGTTCCAGAAAGGAATCCAGGCCTGATCTGAAGACATAAGAGGAGGAGAATCCACCACTTCCCTTGGTAGCTTATTCCTGTGATTAATCACCCTCGCTGTTAACATTTGTGCCTACTTTCCCATTTGAATATTTCTGGTTTCAGCTTCCATCCATGGGTTTTTGTTATGCTTTTCTCTGATAGATTAAAATCCTTTAGCACCTGTTACTAGCTCCTTGTGAAGCAAAGAATACACTGCAATGAAATCACCACTCCATCTTCTTTTTGATAAGATAAAGGGATTGAGGTCTTAAAGTCTCTCATTGTAAAGTTCTCAAATCATTTTTGTGACTCTTTTCTGTACCCTCTCCAGTTTTAAAATGTGGACATCAGAACTGTATACAATAATCTGATATATGTCTAACTAATGCCACAAACCAAGATAAAAATCCTTTATTCAAGATGCATAACTTTGCATTTGGCTGTATTAAAAGGCATATTGTTTGAATAGTCCAGTCTCCCAAGTCATCTATATCTCTCTGCATGACTGCCCTACCCTTTATAATTATTATTTACTATTTTGCCAATCAGTATCATCTGCAAATTTTATCAGCAGTGATTTTATATTTGTTTCCAGATCATTGCTGAACATGTTAAATTTCAGCAATGATCCGGAAACAAATATAAAACCCAGAACCCAGCTAGAAACACTACCATTCAAAGATTCTCCATTGACAACTCTGTTTTGAGATCTGTCAGCTAGTTCTTAATGCATTTAATTGATTCTCTGTAGTTCTACTTTTGAAATCAGCATGTCATACCATATCAAGTCAAACACCTTATAAAAGTCTAAGTAAACTACATCTACAGTTATCTTTATCCACCAAACTTGTAATCTCAAAGAATGAAATTTGGCTTCTTTGACAAAAACTATCTTCCATATAACCACATTGACTGGCATTACTTGTATTTCTGTTCTTAATTCTTTATTAACTGAATCCCACATCCATTATTTTGCCTGGGATTGATGACAAGCTAAGCACCCACTTGTTACCTGGGTCATTCTGCTTGTCATTTAGGTCATTTGGTGTAATACTAGCACTCTTCTAGTCTTCTGGAATCTCCTTGGTATTCCAAGATTTATTAAAAGTTGCCATCAGTGGGCCAGATATCTCCTTAGCCAACTCTTTTAGGACTCTTGGGTACAAGTTATCTGGCCCTGGTCATTTTAAAAACATTTATCCCTCATACATGTTGTCTAACAACCTCCTTGGACTGACTAATAGACTGGAAAGTACTTCTTCATCCTTAAGTCATACAAGTCATTCTGCTTCTTTCCAAATACAGAATAGCAATACATATTTTCCATTATTTCACCCTTACATTTAATTTCCACTTTTTTATCTTGTACTTCTACTAGAATAAAAATATATATATGGGGAATGATTTCCATCTTTGTAAAGGAAATATGTTTTGCAATTAAAATTCACTCAGAATGATAGAAATCTTTGGAACTGGCTGCCAGCCCACCAAGAATAAATCCATTATGCTTTCAACAAGACTCTGTGTGTACTTTTCCTTCAAATTGCCCCATCTCCTTTCTTCTGGCATCAGTGGATTACTTATGCAATTCATTTAAGTAAGAGAGCCATAAATCTTTGCTGGACTACAGTTAAATTATCATCCACCACGGTCTCAGATGCAGACCTTTCTGCAGCTAAAGAAATGTTATGCTGCTGTTGTGGGGAAACTGCCTTTCCCATCTATGATGTTGCTAGAATGACACATACTTACGGGTCTTGACCATGCACACCACTTAGTCTTAAGGTTTCACAGGCTTCTAAAAAAGCAATTAAATCCAAAGGTTAGGCTGGCAAGTATAATAGAAATAAAGTCTTGGAGTAAACACCATTCTGGATTTGGAGAATATTGTTTTTAAAATTCAAAGACACGCCATCATCAAACTTATAAGGACAGTCTTTTATGCACTAGTTTACACTGAGTGTTAGATCTCTTATGATTTAGGCAGAATGGATATTAATGGGTTTACTCTTTGAGTATTAGCAAAAGAGAGATGCTGGAAGTGTGAGGAAGACCAGTGTTCCCATGGTTTGGGAATAATCCCAGCACACTGCCTTTCTGTAGAGATGTTAGAAGAATTGCTTTGACTTTAAGGGTGGATGTTAATTACTTTTAGTTGCTCTCTTACTGGAAAATATTTCTGCCTTGCATTTTCTACAGAAATGGAAAAATTATTCCTGAGGGCCACAAAATTTTGGCAAAAATATCAATTCTCTTGGGTGCAACCCTGGGAAAATCAACCCATTTGGAGATGAGTGTTGACATCAGTGAGGTAGCATAGCTATCATTAATAGCAGAAACTGGCTTAGGAACTAGAAATTTAGATCAACTCTTGGCATAGAAGCTTGAATCAATGCTGCTTCTCCTAGGCAAGGAAAAAGGAGTACTATCCTTATGTAGCATTTGTTCCAAAATCTTATTAGCTGTCTAGGTGAAGACTCTCTGGTCATATATATACTTGTGATGGGTTTTCACTGGAGACTACAAATGAGCAAAGTTAGGGAGAGATTTTATGGGAGTTTTTTATTTCTCTTTTGTTTATATTTAATGTAATAGTTTATTCTTAAACAGTAACACCATGAGAAGGAGGTGCCTTTCCCAACCACATACTATATAGTGTCTAAACTTGCCCCTTTCCTAGGGTTTGATCTTATTAATTAAATCCATTGACAAATTCTTTTATGCACAATATTCTTTTTAATTGCTGATATTTTTTAAAACTGAGATTAAAAATAAGCATGCATGTTTTTAGGGTAAAATGTTTGAGGTGTCTAAGTCCCATTTTCAAAAGTGACTTCAGCACAGTGGACTTACGCACCTGAGTGTCAAAGTCACTTTTGAAAATGGGACTTGGTTGCTTTTTGAAAATGTATTGCTTGCTCCAAAATGAAAACTGTAGTATGAATGGACAAGAATATAATGGAACGTGTACTTACTTAAATTATTTTTGGAGTTTTTTAAACAGAAAACACTGAAGTGAAACTTATTCTCAAATTTTTAATGAAGAATTTGAAGAATAGGAAATGGCATGGAACTGAAGGCTCCAGGAAGCCTACTAGAGACCTTGCCATGCTGGCTAATTAATTTAGGGATATGCTGAGCTACTATGGTGATGGGTGCCAATCCAAAACCCTAAAAAAAGATTAACAAACAAGTGTAAGGGGCTTAGTGCCCATGATTCCTGTTTAAAATCAATGGATATTAAAAATGCTTAGCACTTGTTCTAGATCAATTAACAGAGCATAAAGCAGAGTATATAATCTTACTGAAGGGGCTCTGTTTGGGAGAATAGAATTTAGTTACTTTCACAAACACTTAATTCCCTTTACTAAAAGTCACAAAATAAAGCCAGTGGAGAATTTTCCTATTCTTAGGAATATGCAGTTCTTTTTCACTATTTGAATATTTTTAATTAAAATCAAAGAAGTTCCCTGCTGAACCATGATGATATTCTGTCTGCAGTAACTGTAATATGCAATTCTGTTTCTTAAAGGCAGACAGACATAACGTTTCCTCACAGGGGAAACCAAAGAAGATTTTAAAGCATTGCTTATCTTCTCACTTCTTAAACTGATTACTCTGCCAGTATCTTATTCTATTTCTCCTTTTTTTTTAAATGGAGATAAGTGGCACTAACGATTCATGTTACAGAGGGAGGTTTGTTTTTAAATAAACCTCTGACATGCAGCCTTATACTGAGATCATACCACCTGCTTGGAGTATTCTTGTCATTATTAGTGGTTACATGCTATCATTCCTCTTTATCACCTGCCTCTCTTGGGTAACCCAGAATACCTAATAATTTGCATTATCTAATATAGATTTAGGTCAGGTTCTGCTTTTTCTCACTAAAAGACCTAAAGAAACACTATCATGCACACACAATAAAATCTTACACATCATATCCAAATACTATAAGGATCTGTAATTAAATGTTTAATCTTATTCGCAATGTGCTACAGGAAAGTCTGAACCTTAAATTAATCACTGCCAATTGCTCAGTAAAGCTGAGATGTCAGTAGTAAAATTAAACCCCTTGGTATGCAGAGCTCTGCAGTTTTGTGTGTTTAAACGTGCTGGGTACATATAAAAGATCAAAAAGGGTGAAGAAAAACAAGCATTCTTTTCCCCCCGTTCATTGTACAGGGCATGTAAGCTGTAGAATCTCTACATGTTCAGCACAATGGCTAGCTCCTAGCCACCAGCTTCATTCCTTTGATTAGTCATCTGAACAGTTTCAGTAATTACTAGCACTTGCAGCTCTCTGCCAAGGGAAAACAGGGGGAGAACTACACTGAGGAATGTGGGAGAGGGGTGAATTCGTTACAAAAGGAGACACCCTTCACGGCAAAACCTTTGCATTATCCTGCACGGCTCAGTTTTTCTTTCTCACCTGAAGCGGAGAGAAAGGTACTGGCTTGAAACATTTTCCGTACACCTTGTGGGAGAGTAGAATAAACTCCAGCACAGTGAGCTATTTAACCATTAACCTATTTCCAGGGAGAAAACCGCTGCACAGAAATCTCTGCTGTGTATCTGAAAAAGGGAAACTGTGCATTTATTACTTGCTGTGTCCAGCAGCCTATTGCATCAAACAGTAAAGTGTTAACCTTGCCAGCCCTTGACACTTTCAGTTAGTTATTGCTTTAAAATAGATTGAATGTGCACATCAAAAATGTATAAGAAAAGAAATACAGGAAAATCAGTGCTCCATGCTAGTGTCAAAACAAGCAATCATCCCAAAATAACAGTCTCTCCCTTGGAGTCTCATTGTAGGTGTCGGAGCAAAAGGAATTCCATTGCACGAATGGCTAATAAGGCAAATGACAAAAATCTTACTCACCATGTTTCACCATTCAGCAGTAATCCTCTCTACTATAGTCTTGTTGCTGAGGATGCGTATCTTTATCCAGAGGCTCCTGTGATGCTTTTCAGACTCTGAGGGGCTGTTCTACTACTGCTCTCCACTGGCATTCTCCACCTCCTATCTTTTCCTCCTCCTCCTTCCCTCATCCCCCACCCCCCAATCCTTCTAGCTTGTAGCTTGTTGTACCCTACATAGATTCTAGGTTTCCCTGTGCAGCGTGATTTAGGAAAGATGTTTGTTTCAGCCATCTGTTTGGTAGCAAGTAAATGCTTCCTTTGCTCAGGGTCCAAAATTGAAGGTAAACTAGTGAGCTCACAGCCAGCTACACACATACCAGGTTTGGAATAATTCAGGAGCACAATTATTGTAATTTGTATTTCTCGCACCAATTTTCATAGCTAACTGGAATACAAAAAGACCAGTCTTAGCAGATACTTCTAGGTTATTGCAATGCATCACTGTTCAACATGTATTAAGGTTATTGAAGTGTATCACCCTTTGAAGAAGTGATTTAAAGGGGACCGTTACGGAGAGAGGCAGTGCCTCTCTGACTTCTGATATTAAAGAAGGAATCTCACACTGGAGCAAACTGGGGACAGGAGGAGAGGGAATATTTATACCCAAAAATGTAATTGGCTAGTATGTGTCTTAAGTGGGGGTTTTTTTTAGTCACTGAACATGTTTTGTTTTAACCCGCTTTCCTTAGTAAGTCAATCCAGTTTTTGCTTGCTTCTGCAGTGAAGGCAAAACTGGGAGTTATATCAAGGGTGCTGGAATAATGTGTATAATGGGGGGGTCAATGGCTCTCAGCAGCAAACTGTAAACCCTGTATATAATGGAAACCACTTCAAGTCGGGGGGGGGGGTTCTGCAGCACCCCCTGCACCTCTAGTTCCAGCACCTATGTATCATATCATAATCTGTTATGGAAATTAGCTTAATATCAAAATATTGGGGCTTAAATTCCATGTCAGTATTAAGCTAGATCCTCTCCCTCTCTTCTCTTCTCCCCCGCAAAAAAATACTCTAGCAATGGAGGGGTTGAAAATTGGGCGGAATCCCATATTTTTAAAGGGAAGTTAATTTTGCCACCTTGATCCCCAGTACCTCTTATCCTGGCCCTAACCTCTGCCTTTCCCTTCTCCTCTCCCCTTGGTTGTAGCAGCTTCCCAGTTTGGGGCCTGACAGGGATTCTCATACAAGGATTCTCCTAAAAACAGAACAGTGCTTATACGTGATGGTCTAAAACCCTCCAGTAACACTAGTGTGAGCTGTAGCTTTGGACTGTACTTTATATGTAGGTGTGACTGTTCTTAGTGAGCCTTGTTACCCCTCCCTCTAGGGAGAGAGAGTCTTGCCCATGATGGCTGGGTGTTAGCTCCCTAACACCACAAGCCTAATAGTCATTCAAGTGCCCTCCTCTGGGCTGTGCCAGCCCTGTCTTCACCTTACAGGCTAACAAGAGGTGTGCCCCAATCCCCAAGTCCCTCTGAATCATTCCCCTGTGATATCCAGGCCCTGACACTGGCTATTCACAGGAATCCCAGATCCTTTGCCCCCAAAGGAGCAGTGTGCCCCTATTTTACCTTAAACCCCACAGCATTTGTAATAAAATAAGAGAAGGTTTATTTAAGAAAGAACAGGGATTCAACTAAAGCCAAGAGCGAGCAGCAGAAACTAATGGTTACAATGCAAAACAAAATCATAAAGCACAATGTAGGAGGGGGCTACACTTAATAGTTACCTTTCCTATCTAATACAGTAGGTTTTCCTTCCAAAATTCAGTCTGTTGCACAGTTAGATGGCTTCACAGGATCCAAACTTCCATGAGAAACACTCCCACTCTGCAAGTTGTTTCTCCAGTGACCGGATACAGAAAGCCTGTCCCCACCCTGTGTCAGATGGAAACAGTCATTTGTCTTTATTCAGAGACAGGGTGCTCTCCTGTCTTTTGTAATGTTCCTTTTTTTCCCCAGGTGCTTTCGATCATTTGCAATGGTCTCTGATGGTTTTTCACTGCAAGTCTTGGGATGGACAACTGAATCTTGCTTTATATTGCCTGCTAAATGGAAGGGTGACAACCCACTCCTGTTTGAGTGGGCCATCACCACTATACATTATCCCCTGGTGATTAGCTTTTACTCCAAGTCCAAAAAAAAAAATACTTTCAATATACAGTAAAAGCTGTGTTATCTGGTACTTTAGCAACCGGAAAGCTCCATAAACCGGCATTTCTGATCTTAATTGAAAGTCTGGTTTGTAGTCCAGTTAGTGTGGGGCTGGGGTTGGGGTGTGGGAGAAGGTGAGGGGTGCAGGCTCTGGAAGGGAGTTTGGGTGTGGGAGGGGGCTCAGGGCAGGGGTGCAGAGTGTGGGAGGTGTTTCAGGGTGCTGGATCCAGGTGGTACTCCCCTCGGGCAGCTCCCTGCAAGCACCAACCTGTCCCTGCTGCTCCTAGGCAGAGGCACATCTAGACAGCCCCGCACGCTGCCTCGTCCTGCGCCCCAGCCCTGAGCCCCCTCCCACACCCAAACTCCCTTCCTCTTAGGTAACCAGAATTTTTCACTTACCAGCACTCCCATTCCCCCCAACATGCTGGGTAACCACGCTTTTATTGATAGACAAGGTGGGTGAGGTAATATATTTTATTGGACCAACTTCTGTTGGTGAGTGAGACAAGCTTTCAAGCCACATAGAGTTCTTCAGATAGTTTAGCAAATCTGTTCGATCCTGTATTTAGCTGTGACACTCTCGGTACCTTTCCCAGACCTGAAGAAGAGCTCTGTGTAGCGTTAAAGTCTCTGTCTCAACAACAGAAGATGGTCAAATAAGATTTTACCTCACCCACCTTGTCTCTCTAATGTCTTGGGACTGACACAGCTTCAACAAAACTGCATACTTTCAATATGGTAACATTACTCCTTAAATATTACCCATTCATATATCTCTCATTGACATAAGTACTGATTCTGTGGATGCCCCAGGGCTGGAGCACCCATGGAAAAACATTAGTGGGTGCTTAGCACCGACCGGCAGCCAGCTCCTCTCTCCCACCCAGTGCCTCACATCACCGGCGGCCCTGCTGATCAACTCCTCCCTATCCCTCCCACCCGCCATGATCAGCTGTTCTGCAGTGTGCAGGAGGTGCTGGGAGTGAGGAGGAGGAGCAGGGATGGGGTGGGCACAGGGGAGGGGGTGGAAAGGGGCGGGGCTGGGTGAGAAGAGGTTGGGCCTTGAAAGGCATGGTGTGAGGGTGGGGATGAGTCTAGAGCAGGGATGGGAAGATGCGGGGTGGGGGCTTGGGGGAAGGGGTGGAGTGGGGAGGGTTGAGCACCCCTGGGTAGAGAAGAAGTCAGTGCCTATGCACAGTGATATGGTCTTGGTAAGGTATGAGATTTCTTTAGATACCTTGCATATTACTCAATATGGAGGAATACCCTACAAGACAGAGGCTCAGACTTGCACTGATTCCAAAGCCCTGGCTATGAGTTCACAGAAGGATCAGCTAGCAGGAGCTGGCCTGTGAATGAGCAAACTGTGTTTGAACACTAATAGCTCTGGAAATTGGGTTAAGAGCAATTGTGAAGAAAGCCATGTGAAATGGGAATGGATTTGCATGGTCTGGTATTTTTGGCTTCGCATGAAATATTAATATGTATTGAGTTCTGATTTCAGATGGTGAAAGCTTGCTACACAGATCTTGGCTTTGAGGAGCCCTCACTTAGTGTGTTCTAATGAGGGATGAGAAAACATTAAAGGGTTTTCAAGCCCTTTCTTTCTCTAAATGAAGTTAGTGCATGTTAAAATGCTGGCAGATATTGCAGATCAATCAGAGGTCACGTGCTTCATGCTGAAGTTGATTCATTGCTGAAGTTCAAGGTTCTCAATGCCCCAAGAGAGATCAGGGGGTTTAGATCTGTGTCTGCAAAAATGTCTGCATAAAATCAGCATGCATGATTACTGAGCTGCATTTTTACATGTGCAATTGTTGCATATAATTCTAAAGGTCTGTACTTGGGTGATGGTGTGTGATACCATCCACAACACACAGGCAGCATGAAACAAAGCTGCAGTGTTAAGTTTGTAAAAGCACAAAGTAGACAATACTTCATGTGCCATCACAGAAGAGGAAGACAAATCCTCACCATGGGTGTAGGGAGAGCGGGGCAGACACACATGGTGTTGGTTCCAGGAGCGTTGCCCCTCAGGCCTTTCCAGTACTGTCAGTTCCTAGGATGAAATCTGTCTCTCCCTTCTTTTGGAGTTGGAGTAGGCCTCTCAATAGTCACCCCTTCATCTTCCACCTGATGCCCATTCTTCCCTGGAGGGAGAAGTGGAGATCATCCTTCAGATCTGGAGGATGGACTCAAGTCTCCTAATTCAGAATCTCCATTCCAGGGGCTGTCCAGGGCACGCTCAGAACCATTTGGGATGGGTCCGAGGCTCACATAGCTCCAGAGATGAGGGGATTTCAGCTCCTGAGGAGTTCACTTTCTTGATCAAGTTTCGCTAGGAGTGCCTTCTTCAGGGCCTGTCAGGTCCCTGTCATAGGGGGGAAGGAAATGGGAATTATGAATTATCAAGCACTTTAGTTAAATATAGTGTTGCCATAGTAATATTTTGGGCCCAATCCTGCTCCCAGGTTAGCCATTGGTAAAACTCTCATTGAGCTACATTGCAGGAAAATCAGGGCCTTTATATGTTGCATATAACTCACCTTTCCAAAAAGTTGTAAAATATTTCAGTTTTATAAGCTATTCTTTTCTTATCACCACGTCACTGCTTAATTGTCAATCCCAAAATATTTATCCATAGATCACAAACTTAAGTAGCAAACACGGAAGCCAAATTATTGAGGGTAGTTATTAGGTTGCTGTGTGTCAGTCGTTCTCAACCAGAGGTACTTGGAGATCTTCCAGGGGTACATCAACTCACCTAGATATTTGCATAGTTTTACAACAGGCTACATAAAAAGCACTAGGGAAGTCAGTACAAAATAAAATTTCATAGACAATTATTTGTTTATATTGCTCTGAAATGGAAGTACAATATTTAGATTCCAATTGATTTATTGTATAATTATTTGGTAAAAATGAGAAAA